GGTTTTAATTTAATGTTTATAAATGGATATTTCATGATGTCGAAGAATTCACTTCAAGTAGAGACAACTGATATGGATATTAAACACTCTTATTTAAAAAACAAAACAAGTAGAAACGTTTCGACCTAATTAGGTCACCATCAGGCTAAGAATGTTTTACTCTAAATATTCGTTCCCACATATCAACATTCATACGGATTTAAAAAACAAAACAAGTAGAAACGTTTTGACCTAATTAGGTCACCATCAGGCTAAGAATGTTTTACTCTAAATATTCGTTCCCACATATCAACATTCATACAGATTTAAAAAACAAAACAAGTAGAAACGTTTTGACCTTATTAGGTCACCATCAGGCTAAGAATGTTTTACTCTAAATATTCGTTCCCACATATCAACATTCATACAGATTTAAAAAACAAAACAAGTAGAAACGTTTCGACCTTATTAGGTCACCATCAGGCTAAGAATGTTTTACTCTAAATATTCGTTCCCATATATCAACATTCATATAGATATAACTCGACAGATATGTTTGTTGTTACATCTTTATCTACAATAAAACATTTTGTTCAGAGCTTAATCGCCTGAGATTCTTTGTCTATTATTAATATATTTTCAGTCGTCTCTCTTTAGGGCAAAATAACAAATAAATGAGAAGACAACTCCCATGACAAATATTTTAAACTAAAATACAACCAATCATTTCATGTAGTTTCTTTGTTCGATATGATCAAATACAACTAGAGATTCGTTCATTACAATACGGGGCCGTTATTCATACAATGTTTTGTTTTATTTTCAAGTTAAGCACAAAGCAACATAATGGGCTATCTGTGCTTTGCCTACCACGAGTATCTAAACCCGGATTGTAGCGTTGTAAGTCCGCAGATATAAGGATACTTTCTCTCATATTGGAAATGATAGCCTATACAAGAATGTAGTGAATAAATAACACCCTCAATTCAGCTCTACTATTGCCTAGCCACTTTTTTCATCCCCACCCTCGAAAGCCCTTGTATGGGGTTGGACTAAAGTTGATTGTTATAGTTGTTAAAATATATAATATATTGACCTCCATCGGTGTACGGAAAGACACATTAGATGTGTTTATAAATAAAAGTTTAGTAGGTGGAATTCTATAGAAATAAAACTTTCACGCTTATAATATGTTTTAAGGAAGCGTTATTTTCCTTAAACTTACATTTCTGTCATTCTGTATAGTTAGTCAACCCCTATGATCTACTTCGTGTTCATCTAAAAGTTTTAACACATATCTTAGATAAGTGCATAAGTGAAACGTGCCTCATTGTTCGAAAACATGCAAGACCATTAAATGCTAAGGCTTCAAACTGTGTTAGTTCGAAAACATGCACGACCTTTAAATGCTAAGGTTTGAAACTGTGTTAGTACATTGCACTTACGTTTCTCTTCCTTCCAGCGCGTCTTTCGGACCGGCTGTAAATATCACACAACCACCTATATTTTCATAATAATATCCTGCTGAATAAATGTAATATAACCAACAGAATTCAATAATTATATCGCACGTCTTATAACAAAGAAATGAATTAGTGCACCTTATCTACGTGATGACGTCGAGGCCATTTCCACACCAAATAACATTTTACGTAAATATTAATTTTTGTCCATAGTGTATTTCATCAACTATTATAAAATATACTACGATAATAATTATAATTTTAAAAAAAACTTAGCTATAATAACAATTTTCTTATCTCGAGAAGCTTCATTTTATTATGTAAATATTTTTATAGACATACTTTTGTTCATCATATGACTTAATGTTGCCTAATTTATTTGCTGCTTTATTTATAAGGATAATGGATACTAAGTATCATGTGTGTATAAATACACACCACGAGAACGATAATTAAATCCATTCTTGAGGTTACGCTTGAAGTATCTTGGACAATGTTATATTTCAAAAGGTTTGGGGGCAACACGTATTGTTTCTATGAATGTCGCGTTTCGCCGCTAGGGACCCAGTTTAATAGGAAGTAAGCTTGGCTTTGCCATTATTGCCTGCCTGGATAACTATTTAGTGTAATAAGGCATCATTTATTTAGTAAAGCTGTGCTAAAATCAGTTCATAAGGCGAGCTTCCTAAACTCAGTTCATTAGGCGAGTTCAAAACGAACCAGACTAAATCACCTGGGTTAAGATCAGGGCTCTGTTCTGGCCAAAGCAGAATCGGTTTATGAACAGAGCTCTGTTCAGGCCAAACAGATTATAGTTTTGTTGTTGCTATTGTCTCAAAACCATTGCTGGATGCAGAACATAGCATGATATAATGCACTTTCATGCTGAAAAAGATATTCACTGAATATCAAATAATTCAATCTCTGTCAAATAAATATTACCCACACCATTATATCACCTTCAGCACATTTTACTATCAGACCAAACAAATAAGTTCAGGTGTTTCATGCGTTTTTCTTCATATGTTTATTATATCGTTAATGCAGATGAAAATTCTACCATATTACAGATTTTGTAATGATTGTTGTATATTAAGAGTGGATATACTCAAATACTGACGACGGTTTAATAAATTTGGATATCTTTCATTCTTTTTTTGCACTTTGCAAGTCTGTCCACACGTTTTTTGTTTTCTCTGTTGGTTACTAGACTGTCAGGTTTTTCTTGCGTTAGAGATATTCCTTTCAGTTGTCACTGTTATCATTCTAATGAAAAATGCTAGCTAAATCAAAACACAAAAAGTGCTAGACATTAATGAAAGTAATATTCTATAATAAACTAACTAGATCTACTTAATATCATAAATTAGTTCAGAAGAAAACTGAAACATAATTATCAAAGTACATTAAGTCATAAGCTGTTTGTCCTTGTATCTACGATAGTTTTGTCTGTATTTTAGCGGTTCGGCTTGTTTAGATATGGATTAGTTACAAACACACAGACTAATCCCATAATGCAAAATAATCTCTTTCAGTGCAAACCATTAAAAAGTATTCAGAATTATTATGAACATTATAACCATACAACAGTGATGTAAGTAATCAAAGAGAAATGAATTAAAGATACTCAAAACTATCACAAACGATATAATCAATAATACCAATTAAATCAACCATAACTAGAAAGAGTATAACATTAATTACAAAACACATAAAAGACACTCAAACGCTAGAAAGATCCACACAGTTAATTAAATAATACATGAAACCTGTATTTGCAGAAGATCACGTCCAACAATGGAAACTGAATGTAGCAACAAAAAGGAACGAATAATAAAAGTCAAAGGCCTGTTCAAAGTCAATATTTCTATATCCCCTTTCCGACAACAGCAAGGTACAAATGAAAGCCAGCCTTATCACTTGTATGGTCAACTCTAAATGGTCTAAAATATAGCAGAAATGGCCTCTAACACAAGTAACTATTAAACTACTGACCACAAAACTTTATTTATGGAATATAGGATAAATATATAGACAGACTGACCACAGATGTCTTTTGACAGTTGTCTGAAGAAACGATTTTCTTATTTTGCTTACTCTAGATGAAGACGGCCTGATGAAATTTAAATTTTTCCTCTTACCCATTATAGTTTCTTATAGTTCTGCATTTGTAGAGATAAAACAAACATCTGATGTGGGGAAGGGTCCTGAAAAGAGTCTAGTAGACATGTTTTCAGCTAAAGAAGCCCAAGTAAAGATACTGCTTCCACCAATCTTCTCAACTGAGACGACACAGTCAAACTTCAAGCATTTTCCAATCTTTCGTCAAATTAAAGTAGTTCGTTCTTTAAAATATAATGTTTTATTGGTATTCGCTACAGTTAAGACTCATAGCTATTAGTTGCAATCTTCCAGCATCAAGCTCGGTGTATAAAGTAGATGTACAGTCCTCTAGTCCTAACAGTGAAGTCTTGCAGAATCAAGCTTGATGTACACATTAGATATACAGTACTCTAGTCCTAACAGTGAAGTCTTGCAGAATCAGGCTCGATGTACACAGTAGATGTACAGTCCTCTAGTCCTAATACCCAAAGTCTTGCAGCATCAGGCTCGATGTACACATTAGACGTACAGTCCTCTAGTCCTAATACCCAAAGTCTTGCAGCATCAAGCTCGATGTACACATTAGACGTACAGTCCTCTAGTCCTAATACCCAAAGTCTTGCAGCATCAAGCTCGATGTACAC